ATTACTTTACAACTGCTTAATGCAGTACTGATGTATCTAGTAGTTTAGTGGGTTTAACTAATGTCACATCTGTTTTTATTCATTTCAGATGCAGAAACTTTTGACATATGAATTCATCTTGACTAAGGGTAATGTTTTTGTTCAGAATTAATCATTATTTAAAATCATTGTATTTTCTTTGTTATTATGTACAGATTTTAAAAGAATGTACTTTCTTTTAATAAAGAACTCTTCACAGCACTGCAGCTAAACAGTCACAACCTCACAGAGCTGCACAACTGCCCCACTCAGATCAGTGTTGAAGCTGGAACCTCATCTTGTGTACAGCAAAGGCAGAGCTGAAAATTCACTGTTTGTCTTGTATTGTGTGGTAAGTCATAGTTTTATTAATTTTTTTATTTTATTGCAACACTAAGTAGTCCATTCTGTGGCCAATATGATATAAAGGGCCTAAAATGGGACTGATGTGATCATTGTTTTGATTTCTAGATAAGTACTCATGGGGCTACACATGCAGCTGAAGTTAGCTTCATTGAGTAGGACATTTCTTTCAGTATACTCTTAAAGAGATTCACCCAAAAATGAAAATTCTGTCATTATTGACTCATCCTTCACTTGTTCCAAATATGTCTGACTTGCTTACTTCAGTTAAACACAAAAAAATTATATTTTAAAGAAAGATGAAAACCTGCAAACATTAACTTCCATAGTATTTGTTTTTTCCTACTATGTATGTCAATGTTTTCGGCTTTCCAGCTTTCTTCAAAAAACTTCCTTCATGTTCAACACAAAGTAACTTGGAAGTTTTTAAAAAAGGTTTACAACCACTTAAAGGAGAGTAAATAGTGAACTGTTCCTTTAACCCAATCTAGTTGACTTTACTAGAAAATTGTATAGAAACCCAGTGGCTTAAACCCCTTACATTTTATACAAGGTACAACTTAACAGCCATACTTGAATTAAAATATTACTGTAAGTTCAAGAAGATTGTAAAGGTTTTAGGTTAATTTAAAGTGGGCTGTTTAGTTTCACCTTGTGTAAAAACATAAAGGATTTAAGGCAACATGTTTCTATGCAGTTTTCTAATAAAGTCAACTAGTTTGGGTTAAGAGTGTAATGGGTTACAGTAATAGCAGTGAATCATGCAGGCATAAAATAAATGTTTAGCCATGTAAAACAATAAGCTTGTTATAATTTAGAAATATTTTAGGGTGAAGCACAGTATGCTGTTGTAGTTTTCATATAATTGATGAGTCAAACATGAGATGTGTTTTAAATTGCAAGACGTGAATTAACAATATGTTCATCAAGATTCAAATCTTGCATTTTATATTTTTTAAGGTTTTGGCCCAATAATACCCATATTCTGCTATTTAAAAAATCATGCTGGAATTTGTGTCAGCATTCCCTTCAATGAAAACTACAACAGTGGACATCAGTGGTGATAAAAATGTATGTGAAGGATAAGGGTGTTCATAATGAGAAGTGCAGTTACTATCCTGATCTCTGAGTTTGTAGAACTGACAGATCTGCTTGGAATAAATGGAAACATGCTGGAAATGTTTAACCTATTATACAGTTAATTCAAGAGTGCCAGGTTTAATGACACTTTACATATATAAATAAATATCACTGAACTTTCTAAATGAAACCTAACACTCATTCTTTGTTCAGTAATGATGTTGTGCACTTCTAATACTTTACAGTGGCAAAACCTGGAATAACACATGGGAGCCCTCCAGGAATTGCTGACACTTTACGCCCAAGTCTCCTCATGCTAACCGGATTGCAATATGACAGTCTAGTCAGCATAAACACCTGGACTCACCAAGCACACTTTGGTTCTCAGTGTTTTGTAAAAATAGTTTTTGCTATTCTTCAGTAAATACTTGAATATGTTTTGAACTTATTCTACTTTTGATGTTTAAGTTCAGAAAGTTGTTATTATAAACATAATTTGCATTTGTCATGAACTTGACTTCTTGTTGTTGTGAAAGCTGTTTATTATGATGGCATTTCCAAAGGCATCATTTGAAAAGATTTTTTGCAGTGCAGTTTTACTTGAGCTTGACATACCAGATGTATGACATGAATAAATATCACAAAATAAATATAATAATAATAATACAAAATATACATTTCCTTCAATTATAATTGTTTTTAATCATTTATATATGTATGGTAATATATTATTGCATTAAAAACTTATAAAATATATATTTTTGGTTAAAATATATATTTTTGCATTTTTGTGTGATTTTTATTATTTATTTTTATTTGTGGCATTATAAATAAATTATAAATGTTTCATTAAAAATGTATTGTGTTTATTTGCATACTCATTTACAATGAACTACTATTTATACTATTTAATGGGCACTATATTTGTCATTTAAGTTTGACATATATTTATATTTGTATACCTACATGATGCAGGGTTTAGTTACAGCAAATGCTTGAAATGTTTTCAAACATTAAGCTTTTTTATTATTTTATTATTCGTTTCAAATTAAGTATACTGCCTATGATCTGGTTTTACTATGATCATTTTGCACATCAGGTTACCCCCACAAAGTAATCTCACGGTAAATATACATTTGTATTTTTAATAAGACAATAAATAACATGTAATATTAATACACATTTTGATATTTAAGTTATATTATAAGGTTATAATCAACCTTCAGCCGGAAGATTACCAAATAGAGACAAAGTGTGACGTAGATTGCGACGTTGTGATTGGACTATAACTTCAAAGCCAAATTAAAAGATCCTTCGTGTTGCTAACTATGTTTTGCTAACTTTGCCACTTTACTAACAGTGTCCTTTATCAATGAGTTATCGCTGTGTTTTAAATAGTTAACGATTAACCAAGATCGTAACCCTAAACTTAACCCTAACTACACCTTTCAAGGAACTACAATTTGTAGCGCCATGTCTTTCCCCTCCCATCTATACAGCGACAAAGGATTGTGGGTAATGTAGTTTAAAGCCTTTTTGTAATAAAATGGAACAGATACAAATTTTAATGAACTAAAGACTATCTGAATAAGGTCATTGTGCATATATTTATGACATATATGAAAGCCAGGCATAAATTTGTTATTTTACAATGAGTATTTTTTAAACAGCTTTTATTGACTTGATCAGTATATATCAGACTATTATATCCAACATTATTTATTGAACAGCATAGGTAATAGTCTTGCTGATATTCTCTCACTCATTTCTCGTTTGAAATGTGAATACTTTTTCCTTTTCTACGGGGCTCTACTCATCCCCTTTGAGTAAAAGGGCAGTTAACCTATGTAGATGTATTATCTTCAACATGGACAAGAAATTGTATTGTCACATGTACAGTTGTGGTAAAAAAAAAAAAAAGCTGTAAAAATAAGCTAAACATTAGTATCCTCTTTAATTACAAGTTATTATCAATAGTGATTATGTTCATCACAAATATTATGAGTTCAGAATAATATGTGTGGATGTAATTCTGTAAGTGTGTTTCATTAATGGTCATCATGTGATGTTTAATTGTTTTCACTTTATTTGAAATATGGATAAAAGCTCTTTTAAAATATGTAAATGTTTATAAATAAAACCTTTTTAAAGACATGTATTTGTTTAAAAACCACTCTTTATCTGATTATTTTTACTTTCTAAATCTTCAACTGTTTGTGTAACAGTATGATTTGATGACAATGGATGAACTTGTGTTTAATGATTCCACATAATGTCTTTGTCCTGCATGTGGGTTAATTTGTTAATTATTTTCTTTATGATCAAATGATTGTAAGATTTGCTGCATTGTAAGAATCATGAAAATATTGAGAAATGAGGTAACAATGATGAAAAGATATCCTTTCAAATGCTGCGAATAGTTCAAACCTCCAAATGATTAAAATACATAGCCATTAACCAACAAAATAAAAATGCAAACATTTAAATTATCTAAACTAGAAGTAAAATAGTTCTGTGCTGTATTTATAAGTTACTGTGTAGTTCTATGTCTACCAAAAATACATATTTCAATACATATTTTATTTTCATTCATTCATTTTCTTTTTGGCTTAGTACCTTTATTAACCAGGGGTCGCCACAGTGCTATGAACCGCCAACTTTTCCAGCATGTTATTATGCAGCAGATGCTCTTCCAGCCGCAATCCATCTCTTGGAAAATATTTTATTTTTTATCTTGCATTCAATAAAACATTATACAAAGTTAATTTTTATTTTCAGAATAACAACAGTCGCACTGTTATCTCACAACAAGTGCAGCAGTTTTTTGTTAGACATTCTAACAAATGAATACAAATGTTTCAAAGTAAGGACAAAAATAAAAGGAGATTAATTTTTTTTTTTTTTTTAGAAAAATCCATGAGGACCAAATGGATCCATCAGATCTTTGATGTAAATCATAGGTTAATTTTTCCAGAGGTAGAAGTGTGGTTGCCTGACTCAGCCACATATTGACTGGAGGTATCTGAGCAGTTGACCATAATAATGTACATTTTTTGCCCAAGTATATGCAAAAATTTAATTTATCATAAAAATGTATCATAAAATTAATATTTTAAAAGCTCTTAATGTCACTTAATGTAATAATTTCATTTTAATATAGAGTTCCTTAAATCGTTATATGTTGTAAGCAGTTAGGCATACAATAATGCTCTTAATTTACAACACTGATTGATTTTAGAGGAATGCTTACATACTGTACATATCTATGTATTTAAAAAAAAAGACAATTTGGTTATAGATGATGACAATTTTATTTAATTTTTTACAGATTTTATTACATGCTTTAGATTCAGGGTTAAGGTCATCCTCTTCTGGATTACAGTAAAAGAAAATCCACAGTCAATGTCATACTCATCAGCTGGAGCTTTATTTAAAAAAAATCTATGTTCTCTGCTCCAGCCAAAACTTGCAGGTACCTTGCAGGTCTCTAGATTGCACCATCGTATTGTTGTTTATTTCTCAGTTATTTTGTTGCTTTTTGAGAATGATGATCCATAGACCTTTTAACCCCTCTTCGTTAAGGCCACATGTCGAATCTTAAAAGAAGAACACAACAACATAAAAATATATTAATATTCTTTGGACTGGGTAACCTTATGCTTATGTCTGTGCCAAAAAATACAAATACATACCAGTACATTTCAGTAGCAAACAAGCAAGAAAGTTCTTTGAAAGAACCAGGATGAGTTGAAAGGTATTTATAGTGGTTGACCATCTCTGCCACAAGAATCCACTGCTTCTCCTGAAGAATCCTGACTAGCAGGATGATGTTGAACACCCTCCTCTTTGTTGCTGGGTCAGCAGAGTCTGAAACATATTTATGAAAAGAAAGTTGTATAACAAGGATTATACGTCAACTTTTAAAGAATCAACACTGACAGAAGTCTAGTGTACATACCATGCAATATGACGAAGACATCCACATCACTTCTTCTTTTTGTTGTCTTTGCTTCTGCTACTGAAAAAAAAATGACAGTAATAGTAACACAATTTTTCATGACTACATGTAATATTAATAAGAATTTCCTCACCCTCTGCCCACTCCTCTACATCACAGACCAAAGTCTTCCAATTGGTTTCCAGTCACTGCCAGTTTCATGGATTCTGTTTTGCAACTTGCTTTGCAGAGCTGTTGCGGTCTACAATGATAAGCAATCAAAAAATCACAATACTATTTAAATAGGTTACTGAACAACTAAAACAAATTCAACTGGATATTGTTACCTTCTGATATCAACAGGTCAGCGAGATGGCCAAATTGTTGAACATCTGCTAATTCCAGCACATGACCATGAGAGTTACAGTAGCATGTCTGGTCACTGCAATCCTATAGAAGAAATATTGCACTGTTCAACCTCCTTCCCAAAAGTAAAACCAGGCATATCCTGGTATGCCTCACTCCATTTCACCTGGTTAACATATACAAACAAACAAACAAACAAACAAATAAATAAATAAGTAAACCAATAGGTTTTGGCATTTACTTGTAGATCAGTTTAAGACAGTCACATAGTTCATCTATCTCAGATATAAACTCATGTGATTAGGCATGAAACACACTAAAATCATGGGCTTAAAGATGGTGCTGAAACTTTGGACAGCTTTTTGCAACTTTTTGGAGGTAGTGTCATTAGTTGATGTAGTCCACAAATCTTCCTGTCAATTCTTAATCCTTAGCTGTAAATAAACCTTCAAAAATGCCAGTGTTTGAAAAAGGAATGAAACAGTACAGAACAAGTGCATAACAGTTTCTATCTTCTAATCTAATTTTCTTAGGTGAACATCACAGAGCTGTTTTCTTGTTAATTTAGTTTCAACACATACAGTTTAAAGTACCTCGTGCATTCATGAAATGGTTATGCTTATGGTTCATATCTACTTAAATTGGCAGTATATCTAGTGTGGAAGCAGAACAGATGAAGGGCTCTTCCTTGCAAATACTATCCACCTTGTATTGCACAGACTCCCACTCAAGAATATCTCAGAAAAATGTCTGCTGAGATCTTAGCAGTCCATTAAAAATAATTATACCAACATCTTTTCCACCAATGGAAAGAATATAAAAATACTTTAGGATATATTAATACTTGCATGACCAAATGTGAGATAAAAAGGCCATCAGTATGCCTTAGTTTAAATAAAACCAAAATTTTACTCTAGCCCACTGTCACCTAGGTCTACAGATACAGGGACTAATGGAAACAATGAAGTACACACTGACAGTCACTGGAGCAAGGCCCTCTCACAGTTGGGAAGATTGGAGTTCCTATGAGCTGTACCAGATAAAAACAACAAAAAAATGTACATTTATAACATTTCTAACTTATCCTAAGACTAGTAGACAAGCAGCATAAGCAGTTCTAATTTCCTAAACGCCAATGTGGGCAGTTGATGGCCTATAAGTTGTCATAAAATCAGACAAAACAAAATACTTTCTGAAAAAGAAAAAAATGGTTGGCCACTATCAACACCCAGAACAATTAGTTTTAAACAGTTAGGCCACAATATTTTGTGAGCTTATGCTGTAGTTTTTTAATGTTTGTCATAAACAATAGTAATAGTAAAACTAATGCGTTTCTTTCTGTTATTACAATAGTAGTGAAAGAATAAATGCATTTTATCTCATACAATCACATATGCCTAAACAATGTAGATATTTAATATACATGGAATGAAAAACTTCACTAACCCTTGACTGATTCCAGAGTGGTCTTGGCCTTCCTTACATGGTGGTGCTTTATGCAGATCACCAAGTTGTCATCAAAACTTGAGCTTATAATTGAGATCTTGGTGATAAATCTGAGTATTGAGGAATCACTCATGGTGATAGGCAGAAACAGGCTGAAAGACACAAGAATTAATCAAACAAATATAAATGTGTTAACAGAGATAGAGAGAGAGACAAGTGCAATTTAACATATAAACATGGGTAAAGTGATTTTACTTTTTGCTTATTAGAAAACAAAATTGGATTTTTAAAGAAATCTAAAGAACCTGAAAAGAGCAAAGAAAAAATATTCATATCTGAACAGTGAACACCTTATAATGTACACCTGTATATATATATATATATATATATATATATATATATATATATATATATATATATATATATATATATATATATATGTGTGTGTGTGTGTGTGTGTGTGTGTGTGTGTGGTAGATTAAGCTATTTTTTTGTTTAGTTTTGTGTTGTACAATGAATAAAATGTGCTCAGACGGGCAAAATTTCTGCCTTTTTCCTTTAAAGGCATGGAAAATAATTGTTTTTACAATAAACCTTTGGAAACACTTGATGTTCTTTAATATTGAAACAATTACGAATACATTTGTATTATTAGAGTTGCATATTGCATATTATATATAGATTTTGCACGAATTCTATTGTGGAAAACAACAATCTGGTTACACTGTTCCTTATCTTAAAATGTATATATTGTTCTAATGCATGACCAACGTTATATGTGAGAAAAATATGTTTTTAATAAATGAACTTGATGTAATTAGATAACGTCGCTAGTTTACAGTACATGCTTTATCAACAAATCGTGTTTATTTGTTTACTTTTTACTTACCTTGTGGAAAACCGCAGTGAACCTTGGGATCGCAATGAACCTTGGGATAGCGAGCATAGACTGTAAAAAATAGATCGCCACATTTAATGACCCCAACTTTAATAAATAATTTAAAATGAAAAATATCAGCCGAAAACATTTTTGAACTTAGTACTTGAAATTTAATATTTTTTTTTAAGTAAAAAAATAATAAATAATATGAATGAATCAAAGTTTTATTAGGCATAGTTACCCTAAACTGGACAACCGAATATATTTTCACTCATTAAATATAAAGTAAATGATAAAATATTTATAAACACCAACTAATCTCCAATAAAAATATATTATGCAGCATTAACGTAATATTTAATGTTGACAGTTGAACTCATCTGAGAACTCACCGCTGATGCAGTTTGACCAATAGCAGAGCGGCGTTAAACTCACCGTGAAGGGATGTCACGTGGGCCGAAGTTTATTCACACAGTAGTTTCGACCCCGTTTACATACGCTTTTCATAAACAAAATAAAAATTACATATTTTTAAAATAAGAAAACTGTGATAATAGGCGTAAATCAGGTTTTAAAAAGTTTGTTGACATCTATTGGTAATTATACGAGCCTCCAGCGTCTCCCTATGACGCCTCAGGCTCAGGCACAGATTCTATAGGGAATCCCTGCACGTCTAAATATGACGCTAAAGGGGTACCCTGTGCGTCAATAACTGACGCCGAGGGTTCCTGACCAAGCGTCAGTATGTGACGAGTTGGGAGTGAGAACGTGTTGCCCTCATACCCATATGAATCAACACAGGGAAAAAAGCACATGGAAAAAAGAGCATCATTTAAACTTGTGGTGTGTGGTTTTCTTTCATTTGGGCCAAGCTAAAGCTCTCACAACACCCACAATGTTCTTATATTCTGCCTAATTCATTTTTGATGTGTTTTTTAAATGCTCTCCACGCTTCTGGCAAAATGTAATAAGCAACAATTTTATCTGATGAGCTTGAACGAATAATACTGTTAGCTGAACTGGTGCTGGTTTGAAGTTGGCATCTCAGATACATACAGATTTGTACATATTTATTTATAAAATATGCTCACTCACTCACTAGCCTTCGGCTTAGTCCCTGGTTTATCAGGGGTCGCCACAGTGGAATGAACTGCCAATTACTCTGACATATGTTTTACGCAACAGATGCCCTTTCAGCCATAACCCATCACTGGGAAAACACTTCAAAATATATCATGTACATATAAATTCTAAATAACATATTGAACATGTCACTATTTTTAATAAAGGTATTTTTAAAGGAAATTTTCACCACATGTCGGTAACAACTAAGGCAATCCATTCAAAGAAAACTAAATTAATTAGTTTACAAATGAAGTTTTGTGTAATGAAATAAAAAGACACGGGGGAAAAGTTTTGAACACATGAATGATGGAAGGTGTAAAAATGCATGGAAAGCCCAGACATGCAGCAGCTGAAATCTCTCAATAGTTAAATTTAATATTAGCTGCTTTAATCCCAATACCATTACTATGCTAAAACCAGGGTGGACATTTCAGCAATGAACCCAAACACAGCCATGGAAAGTCTCAAATGGATTCAGAAAAGAAAATAAAGATGTTAGAATGGTCCAGCCAGTCACCTAACCTGACTCCAATAGAAAATAAGAACTAAATATCAGAGTCGATAGATGAGACTGACAGAACCATCAAGATTTTTAGTCTGTGTTGAATTCTGGGAATAGATCATACTTAAGCAATGCATATAGCTCCAGTCTTCATACAAGAGGCATATTGAAGCTGTCATTATTACACAAAAAAAGCCTTTCATACAAAGTATTAAATGCATTTCAGTGATTCAGTACCTTGTGTCATTTCACTGTTACACATAACTAATATTTATGATTTATTTATTTGGGTTTTTACAAAAATCTGGATCAATTTAATGTCAACAGTTCTCTTAGAAACATATTTTCCATTTATTTATAAAAATAAAACAATAGAGCATTTCTTTCCATATATTAACAAAAAGGTGCCATGTTTTTAGACATGTTTGTTTAAAATTTTAGACAAAATAATACCAATGTTTTAACTTTAGCTGAGCTCAATATTAAATATGAATTTGGTGGAAAATCCTGATTTCCAATCACAACAAATGAAAACATTTGTAATTCTGACAAATTTTCTAATAAAAGGAAATCCTCTAAATTACACTGTTTTAATTTGAAATGTGTAGATTAAAACCTTTTTAGAAAAAAAGCAAATGATACTTTTTACTCAATTCCATAACTAATGAATTCAGTAAATTCAGAAAACTCTAATTTCCAAGTGACGTTTAATGGAGGAAAGACATTTTCATAGTATTTCCTATGATATTTTTTTGTTTCTGGAGGAAATCATATTTCTATTCTGCAGGAATAAATGTTTTATATATGGTCACTTTATTTTGATGGTTCGTTTGTTGAATTGAAGTTACATGCATCTACATGCCAACTAATTCTCATTATAAATTAAAAGTTAAGTTAGGGTTAGGGTTAGGGTAAGCTGACATGTACTTTCAAAGTTTCTTATAGTCTGTTAAATGTCTGTTGAAGGAGCAATAATACCCAAATGGACCATCAAAATAAGTTGAAGTGAGAATTATGGACCCCCCTTTGATTTTGTTTTTCTTTTTTAAATATTTTCCCAAATTATGTTTAACAGAGCAAGGAAATTTTCACAGTATGTCTGATAATATTTTTGTTCTTCTGGAGAAGGTCTTATTTGTTTTATTTTGGATATAATAAAAGCAGTTTTTTAATTTTTTAAAATCTATTTTTAAGGTTAAAAATTATAAGCCCCCAAATTATTTTTTTAAATTGTCACCAATCATCTAATGGCTTGCCTAACCCGACTTTCTATACCTAACAACCTTAAGCCATTAAATTTTAAGCTGAATACTGGTATCTAGAGCAAAATAACTAAAACGTATTATATACTGTCATCGTGACAAACACAAAATCAATTATTTACAAGAAATTAGTTATTGAAAATATGTTTAAAAATGTTTTGAACCAATATTTTCTCTATTGAACAACACTTGTTTTAGATATGAACACTTATCCTTTTAAAAGGATTCAAATTTCACAGGAGGGCTAATCATTTTGACTTTAGCTTCAACTGGTGTCTACATATAATATATAATTTTAACTATAATACTTTATAGCATATGATATAAAATCTGATGTGCTGCTTATTAATACATTCTGTGTTTTGCAGGTAAATGATAAGATCATGTTGTGATCTCAGCGTGGTGTCAGATACTTTGTGATGTGTGGTTTTCTTTAAATTGGGCCATGCTAAATCTCTCATAACACCCACAATGTTCCTATATTCTCTTTAATTCATGTTTGACTCATTTTTTTAAATGTCCTCCATGCTTCTGGCACAAATGTAATTAAGCAAACATTTTATCTGATCAGCCTGTATGAATAATGTTAGCTAAGCTGCTGCTGGTCGGAATTTGGCATCTTGGATTGTGTCTTTTTTTAATCCTCTTTTGTCTTTCATGAACAAATTTTGGCAAGCCGATGATGTTTCATCTGAGCATCCGGTATGATCACAGCTCTTTTGAAGTTACGAACGAACGTCTCCTTGTTTACTCATACCATTGCGTCATTCCTTGTTTACTGTGCACATTTCAGATGCCTGTAATTATAGCAGAAACATCCGAATTGCTTCCACCATGTTTTACAGCTTTTTGAGTGAGCTCAAAGTAACCTTGCTTTTAAATGATATGCTATACTTTTATCAATGACGGCGTTCTGAAAAAGATCACTGTGAAACAAAAGCATTAATGAGGACATGTCTAAAAACATCTGTGTGCCTGTAAGCACCAGAGGAGAGATGGATGGAGGCTGCGAGTTTAATGAAATAATGAAATATCTCTAGGCAAGACACTTTTTACAGAGTACTCACTCCGTTTATTTTTCTGATTTCTTGACGATTGGCCGACACTTTAAGCCACGCTTCTGGTTAGACTGTCGTATTTTGGTTAGTTATAGCTGCAGTTATTATTTCATATTGAAGGATTTTGCAGCATTAACTCCTCAAGACAAAAGAAAAGAAGTGTTCAGTTAAAACCTTTTTCTCCACGCTGCATTAGTGTATTTGATTAATATAGCTTTTATTCTGTATAATATCAATATATCCAGTGTATAGTTTTTGTATAGCCAAGTGCATTTCATTTTGTAAATTTTGTGACTCAACAGGATGACAACTTTAATATGTTGTTTGTAATATCTACATAGAGTAGTCAACATTTGAAGTGGAACAAATATATAAGGTATAACCCCTGGGGTATGGATAAATAATGAATATATCTAATATTTCAATATTTTACATTAGCAATATATCAATATTTATTCATTCATTTTTTCATTTTTCTTCAGCTTGGTCTCTTTATTCATTAGGGGTTGCTTGCCAAAGCAGAATGAACCACCAATTTATCCAGCATATGTTTTACACATTGGATGCCCTTACAGCTGCAACCCAGTACTGAGAAACCACCATACACACTCATTCACACATACACTACGGCCAATTTAGTTTCCTCAATTCATCTATAGTGCATGTCTTTGAACTGTGGGGGAAAACCGAAGTACCTGCAGGAAACCCACACAAACACTGGGAGAGCATGCAAACTCCACACAGAAATGCAAACTAGCCAAGCCGGGAACCAGCGACCTTCATGCTGTGAGGCGACAGTGCTAACCACTGAGCCACAGTGCTGCCTTGATGAATATTTCTAATATTTGAATATTTTACATTTTATTTGTCACCACACACTTTTTATATTGAATATTATATTCAAATATACATTAAATTATACATGAATTACCACATAAACAAATATAGGATGAATATTTCTATTATAAAATAATATTTCTGTCATTAAATCAAATCACAAACATCTCTTAAAGACATATGCTGCGTGTAATTTATACACATGGGCTCAGATTTTATGTTTTTATTGTGTTTTTATTTTTACATTCTAATAATGGCATTTAAGATGTTGACTATATATGCAGTTGAAGTCAAAAGTTATAGACTTCCAGTGAAAGGTTTATTATTATTAAATTAATTTAAAACTAGTTTAACAAAGACAATATTGTTTCAACACATTTTAAGCATAACAGTTTTAATAACTAATTTCTAATGACTAAAGTATTTCTTCTTTGCCCTGTTAAAAATAAATGTAATTAATGTTTTAATTATTTTGCAAGATAATAGTATTCAGCTTAATGCACAGTATTTTTTAGCCAATGATAAACTTCCGGTAAAAGCTTAATGCAGGTGTGGGCAAACTTGATCCTTGAGTGCCTGTGTCCTGCATAGTTTAGCTCCAACCCTATTCAAACAGACCTCCCTATAGAGTTCAAGTGATCTTGAAGACACTGATTAGTTTGTTCAGGTGTGTTTGATTAGTGTTGGAACAAAACTCTGCAGGGACACCGCCCTCGAGGATTAAGTTTGCCCATCCCTGGCTTAATGCAACTTTTGATTTCATAAGATTCCTTTTACAACATAGATGTTGTAATGTAATTCAAAACA